AGGAGCTGCTGCCGCTCCTGCCGCTGCCTGCCACCCTGGCACCCCAGCGCTTTGCCCTTGCCTGCGAGGACCTGCCCACCTGCAGCAGCCAGCCTCCCGCACTGCCAAGGAGTGCAGCCGCACCGCCGGCCACCCTGGGGAGCCAGGAGGGCCCTGGGGCTGGGGGGGCAGGGGGCAGCCCCGGTGCCCTGCACGACGCCCGGCGCGAGATCTTGGGCTGCGGCATCTCCGTCCGCAGCCTCAAGGCCAACTACGAGGGGCCAGGGGGGGCCCCCATGCCTCTTCCCAGGGTCACCAAGCGCAAGCGGGCGCAGCCCCCCGGCAGCACCCGCCGGCCTGTCATGGAAGAGGAATATGGAGATAGGGCACTGCGGCGGAGCCAGCTGGCACCGCCGGAGCTGAGTGGCCCACAAGAGTCCCCAGCGGCGCGCAAGGAGCGCGCCATCTTCCTCTTCCTGGAGCACTGGAAGAAGCGGGCGCTGGTGGCGGTGCCTGGGGAGGCACGGCCATCGTGGCCAGGGAGGCGGCGGCCAGCAGTGGGGCAGCTGCTGGCCCGCTGGAGGAGCGTTGCCCGCCGGGTGCCAGGGCGGCAGATCCGGCGGCTGAGCCGTGCCACGGTGCTGTACTGGCCCCAGCACTTCCTGCCCCATGTCGGCGGCTCACCCATGCCCCACGACAGCCTCCCGCTCGACCTCTTCATGCTGGGCTACTTCCAGCTGCTGGAGATGCCACTCAGCCCCGAGGAGCGGCGCTTCCGCCACCTCCTCTGCTACGAGATGTTTGACCGCCTGGGCAGCCACAGCTGGCACCACGTCCGCCGCTTCCACCGTGCCGCACTGGAGCGGGTTGAGGCTGGCCACTGCCACTGGCTCGATGGCTTTGAGGACCTCGTGCAGGAGTTTTTTGGGGACAGCCTCACCACGGTGGCAGAGAGCCTGCCGGAGCCCCCCACTGTGGCCCCGGGAGGGGAGGGGGCAGCAGTGTCAGTGCCAGTGCCGGTGCCAGTGCTGGAGCTGGGCGAGTTCAGTGAGGAGGACGTCTGCCACTTCATCGACCGCAGCTTCTCCTTCTGGAAGGAGAAGGAGGCAGAGATGTCTGACACCTGAGCCCGGTGGGATGCTGCGGGCTGTGCCAGCGGTGTGGCGTGGGGCTGGCTGGGAGCAGGTGCCGGGGGGCAGCCAGGGGCAGCAGGACCCAGTGCCCAGGTGTGCTCAGCCGCCCCTGCAGTGCTGGCAGTGCCGTGGCTTGGCTCGGCAGAGGGCTCGGTGTTGGTTCGTGTGGACGTGGGCGGAGGTTGCGGTGTGCCGCTTGCCGTGGCTGTGTGTTGTGCGGGGGGGCGCAGCACCGGGGCTGTGCTCCCTTCTGGTGTGGCGTTTGCGGTGCCGGGGCAGTGTGGGCCCCCACGTGTCAGTGCAATAAAGCTGTGGTGTGCTGCAAAGGGCTGGCCGCGCCACGCACTCCTTCCTCCTCCCCGTGCTGGCAGAAGGCGGGTGACAAGGGGCAATGTTGGCAAGCCACGTGCTGTCCAGGAGTGTGGCTCAGCCCGGCCACCAGTGGGATATGGCGCCATGTGCCAGGGTGATGCCGCTGCTTTGCGGTGCTGGTGGCAAGGGTGGGCTCCCGGCAGCACCTGTAACACGGCTGTCTGTTGCAGGAGAAGGAGGAGGAGGCGCGCCTGGCCAGCATGCCGGCCTGGAGGAGGGACATCCTGCGCAAGAAGCTGGAGGAGGAGAGGTGAGCCGGGGCCAGGGGACATCATGCCGGCTGGCCACCCCTGCGGCTCAGCTAACCCCCCTCTTCCCTTTGCCTTTGCAGGGAGCAGAAACGGTGAGTGCCGCAAGCCCCTTCCCTGGGCAGGCGGGCGGGCACGGCGGCTCCGGCGGCTCCGGTGACCGCAGCGCCCTGTGCCCTCCACTACCAAGCAGGAAAGAGCAGGAGAAGCTGAAGCGGGAGGAGGAGGAGAAGGAGAAGGAGCAGTCGGAAAAGCTAAGGACTCTCGGGTACGATGAGACAAAGCTGGCGCCCTGGCAGCGGCAGATCATCCTCAAGAAGGGGGACATAGCCAAGCACTAGCTACGCCACGCCACGCCCCGGCTCTTTGCGGCGGGAGGAGGCTGGCAGGTCCCATCGTGGACCGGGACATACCTCGACACCCTCCTCCTGCCGCCGATGGCCATGTAGCCCGACCCGGAGGAGCCCCCACCGCTGTCCCAGGCACCCATAGCCCCCGTCCCACTGCTGCCAGCCCACCGCCACCCCGTGCTGACCTTCGCAAAGTGACGTGGCGCAGCATGGGTCACCTGGCTCCTTGTGCACTGACCAGCTCAACCACTGCGGCTAGGCTTGCCATGCCACCTGGCTCCCTGTGCTCCCTGCTGGCACCGCTCGCTGTTGCGGCCGCGGCACGCTCGCCTCCACTCCTGCCTCTCCTGCCTCTGGAGCCACTCGAGGCCAGCTCCCGGCTCGCCTCCACGCTGGACCGCCTGCCTTTCCAGTGATTAAAACGATAAACCCCGCCAGCAGTGCCCCGCGCCTTCCTGGGGCTGCCCATGCCACCCCTCTGCTCGCACCACGCTGTGCCCACCGTGGTGCCCCCATCGTCCCTACCGCGCCCATCACCCACATCCACGTCACTTCCATCACCCCCATCGCCCCCATCGCCTGCAGTTACCGCATCACTGGTGGTGGCCCTGATGCCAGCGGTGCCCCAATGCCTGGCTGGGCTAGCGCAGCCCTGGGAAGAAGGGCCGGGGGCCAGCGGACGGAGAACATGCCACTTTATTGGGGGGGGGGGCAGGGGCAGCCGGCATGCCGGGGCGCGGGATCCCCCCCAGCCCTGGGAGCAGGGGGACATAAATAGGGGGGGCGGGCAGGGAGGACACATAAAACTGACATAAAATGTCTACACGGCATAAGTAACAATACTTAGGGGTACGACTCGGCCAAGGCACCCAGCGAGCCAGGGAGGTGCCAGGACCTCCCTCTGCCGGGGTGGCAGTGCCAGGGGTCAGGGGCCCGCCGGCAGGCTCCGGCGCAGTGCCTCGGCGCAGCCAGCCAGCTCCATGCGCTCCAGGGCAGTGAAGACGCGGTCGAGCGTGGCGCTGGTCTGCTGGCACCAGCGCTTCAGCATCTCGTACTGCTGGTCGCGGATGTGGGCCACCTCCAGCTCCACCAACTCGATCTCCGCCTCCCGCAGCTCCAGCACCCGCATGAACTCCTTCCAGCGCCTCACCGGCACCGCATCGATGACGGCGTAGAGCTGGCTGCCCTGCAGCAGGGTGCTGCAGAGCTCCGGAGGGGCCGAGGGCTCCACCTCACCACCCAGCTGTGCCGCACCACTGGGCTGCTCCCGCAGTAAGGCCCGGTGCTCAGAGCTCTGCCATGCCGTGCTGGTGGCATGCTCCGTCACCTGTGGGGAGCCCAGCTGGGTCCAGCACAGGCTGTCCCACCCTTGGGCACTGACCTGGCACCATGGCGTGGCCACAGCCCCGGCCATGGGGGTGGCCACCTGTGCCACGGGGAGGGGGCCACCTGCCGGGGCATTGTGCCGGAGCCACTTCCTCTTGTAGATGACGAGAGCGCCCAGGAAGAGGGGCCCGGTGAGCGCCAGCAGCACATACTCCAGCCCTGAGCCTTCAAGGAGGAGCAGGAGCATCCCTGTCAGTCAGCCAGCATGGCATTCCCCACGCCACAGCCCCCGGCCCCACCACTCCCACACCTTGGCTGCCACCGCCACCACCGCCACACACCCGCTGGCACTCCTTGCTGCACGTCTCCGGGGTGCTCCTGCAAGGAGAGAGGAGCCGTGGCACTGTGCTGCACCATGCCACAGGCCTCGCACGTGTCCCCGGATGGGGCACAGGGAGGGTCAGTGCTTACGCGTGGCACGGCCGGCACTCGCCGCCCTCGGCGTAGAAGTCAGGCTTGCAGCTGCCGCAGACTGTGTCCTGCGCCTCCGAGCCTGGGGAGAGGGCAGGCGTCAGGCAGGGCGGCACAGCCGGAGGCGGCACAGCCCGTGGGGGCACACCGCGGGCCAGCCGGCAGCACTCACAGGGCCACTGGATGAGCCGTTTGATGCAAGGCTGGCACTGCTGGCAGAAGAAGTCACTGCAGCGCTCGTCGAGGCAGTTGCGGAAGCGGCCGGGCTCGCAGCCACAGGCGACGTTGCTGGTGGCTGAGCAGTTCCTCAGCACAGTCTGGAAAGCTGCAGGAGACAGGCGGTGAGCAGCGCAGCACAGCACTACATGGCACAGCACAGCGCTGTGCAGCATGGCACGGCGCGGCGCAGCACGGCATGCTGCCAGCTCACCTTGGTGGTCACACTCATAACAAGCCTGGCACTCACGGAAGGTGTTGGGCTGGGCGCGGAAGGTGCCGGTGGGACAGGGGGCGCAGATGCTCTTGTTGCCATGGCTCAAGCAGGGGCTGAGCAGGAACGTCCCTGCGGGGACAGCGGGGTGACAGGGAGCAGGGCCACCCGGGGCAATGTGCCCAGTGTGCCACAGTGCCGTGCCGTGCCGCACTGACTGGGCGGCTCTCACCTGCAGGACACTGGACACAGCACCAGCCAGCCCCCTTGATCCAGCTCATGCCGGCGGGGCAGGGGGGTCTGGTGGCATGCCTCTGGCTGTGGGTGGGCGGCCGCACCGTGACCCGCTGCCCTCGCGGCACGATGCAGTCCTGGCACCCCGGGGTCTGCGATTCACTCGCTGCTAGCCACAGCGCTGCCAGGATCACCTGCGGGCAGGGAGAGGACAGGGATGCAGGCAGCTGGGGTGCCCGGGAGCCGCGTACCCGTGGGGAGCAGCCCTCGAACCGCACTCCCCACCTTTGCGGCCGCGCCTGCTGGGCTGTCCAAGCCAGAGCCAAGCCCAGCTCAGTGCCGCGTGGACATCGGTGCCTGTGCCGGGCAGGTCAGCTGGAGCTGCGGCCCCGTGCCCCAGAGCTACGCAGGTGTGTGACCCCGGGGCCGGGAATGCCCCACGGCAGCCCCTGCACCGTGTTTTCCCCGCTGTACCCGAGAAAGCAGCTTCCTGCTGGCGCCACAGGGCATGCACACCGCGGAGGCCACCGTGCCCCCCCGCGTCCGGGGGCCACTGTCGGGTGCCCCACATGTGTTCTGCAAACGGTGCCACCAGGCTGGCTGGGAAGGGGACCAGGGAGCGGGGTTGGGATGGTTGACTCACTGTGGGATGGGGATGAGGGAGTCGGGCACACGGGCCACTGGCCGTGCCAGTGCTCCTGCCTGCGGGATGGCCAGCCTGGGGAGGCTCTGGCAGCCGGGCGCGGGAGGGTTAGCGCTGCCGGCACTGACTTTCCTGGGGTTTATCTCCCTTGCAGAGGAGGCGATTTCCTCCCTGAGAGGAAGCCGTGCCCAACTCACGCTCTCCCTGATGCTATCACGCCTCGTACGTGCGTCCCAAACTAGGTCACCGCTTCCCCGCCCCAGGGTGCCAGGCGCTGCACCCAGGGGAGCCCCACTCCCCAGACAGCCCGGTGGGGGCGGCGAGGGGGTGCCCATGCCAGCACCCCACACCTCGGGACGGGCAGGGAGCTGGTGGGCTGGCAGTGCGGGCAGGGAGCCAGGGGATTCCTCACCGGGGGCTGGATTTCCCAGTTGCGATGGCCCCGATTACAGCAGCTGAATCATTTTCTATTAAACCCGCCGCCGCCAGCGGACTGGAAACCTCGCATGGGCCATCCTGCTTGCAGAGCGAACCTCGCATGGGCCATCCTGCTTGCAGAGCGTGGCTGGCAGACTGGGGCAGCTGCCTCGGCCCCGGCTGCCAGTGGCACGTCTGAGTCACTGCCGAGGCATGACCTTCCCATGGCTGGGCCTTGCCTGTGCACCCTGCCTGCAGGCAGGCAGGCGGTTGCCCCCTTCCCTAGCACAGGCAGAAGGTGCCCCGCGGGCAGGGGAGCCACCAGCACAGGTGCCATCCCGCTGCCGGCTGTGCGGCAGGGAGACCCACGGCTTCCTGTGCCGTGCAAGCACCACCCCTGCCCGTAACACAGCCCTGGTGAGGCTTTCGCTCCTGGCACCCATGTGCCGGGGCAGCCACCTGCCCAGCCCCGGGATGGCCCCGGGCAGCCGCCACCACTGGCAGCCCTGCCCCGTGCCCACAGGCTGCCAGCACAGCTGGTCCCGGTAGCAGTGCCCTGCCTGCAGCCACATGGCTGAGCCCACAGCTCCCACTGCCACACCATGGCTGTGCCTGCCGTCTTTGTGGCTGTGCCATGCTGCAGGTACTTCGGCAAGGCAGACTGCAGCCCCAGGTGTTCAGCCAGGGCAGGGGGCTGAGCATTTTCGGCATGCTTGGCACTAGGCTTACCCCCTCCCCTCCTCCAGACCCCCCCGTGGCCGGCACCCTGCAATTGGTGGCAGGGGCCGCAGGACCCCGGCACGACTGCACTCACCCAAGCCACCTCCAGGCAGCAGCGCTTCATCCTTGCGGCCGATGTGGCTGGGTCATGCCAGGGCAGCAAGGGGACCAGGGCGGTGGGCACTGTGGGGTGTCCGGGCAGCTCAGCGCCCGGGCAGGGTGCCCCAGCACCCCATCGCCACCGCTGGCAGCGCGTGACGCGTGGTGAGTGAGCACCAGCCCTCTCCACACAGGCTTTTACACCCGACCGCAGCAGGAGGAAATGCTTTTTTTGGAAATTAGTCCAGGGGGTGCAAAAGTACATGAAGGGAGTGCCGGCTGTGGGAGGGACCTGTGCCACCTTGCCACAGGCTGCCCAGCCGCCGCCCTCCCTTTCCTGCTGGCACGGACCCGCTGTGGCTGGGGGGATGCGGGGGGCAGGGGGCGCAGGGAGCAGCACTGATGCTCCTCCACAGGGCTCCATCCCCACCCCGAGCCCCAGGGCACGAGGCTGGAGCTGCCCCCAGCCTCGCCACGGCATCTGCCCCGGGGGGGCTCCCTCAGCCATGCCGCGTGCTCATCCCAGTGCTGCCCAGTTGTAGGGTGCTGCCGCAGCCAAAGGAGAGGCGAGGCGGGCGCGAGCGTGCACCAGCTGGGTTTATTGCTCGGCCGAGACGCGGAGCCCAGCCTGGCACGGGACAGCAGCTGGCGCTCCAGCCACCGCCCCGTCCCCCCGTGGCTCCCACGCTCCGGTCCCGGGCGCTGCTATCTGCTGCCTCCCATCTCACCCCACAGGGCAAACCCTGCCCCAGTCAGACCCTGGGGCCACCACCCGCCCCAGACCAGCACTGTCCCCTCCTGCCACCAGCCCCAGCCTCCTCCCCACTCCACGGCCCTCTCAGCACCTTCCCCACTCACCACCGCCAACATCGTCATCCCTTCCTCGCCCACGGGAGCCACCCCACAGCTCTCCGCAGCCCCCCACATCCCCGGGGGCCCCCCCTGCCCAATGCACCATGGGGTGGCTGAGCCTCCAACAGCAACCCTCATCTCTGTGGACAAGGGCTCGGCCCGAGCCACGTGCCGTGTCCATCCCTGCTCTGGGGAGAAGCGGGCAGCCCTGCACCACCAGGCCCAGGGCACGGCCTCGCCAAGGGGACCGGTCTGCCGTCCCCACCAGCACGGCATCCCAGCACCTGCTCTGCCTGGCCCCGGCGTTACGCTACGGTTAGAAGCGGGAGCAGCTCCTTGGCGTGGCCACGCATCCGTCCTTGCCGCCCCAGCAGCTCTCAGACCTCCCTGCAAGGAACAGAGCGGGGAGAGATGCCCTCAGCGCCAGGACCTGGCACCCGGCCACGGTGAGCATCTGGGAGGGCCGGAGCATCCTCCAGGAGCATGTGGGCAGGATTGCGCTTACGAGGCGGTCAGCGTGGAGTTGAGCAGCAGCGTGGTCCGTATCCGGTACAGCTGTGCCAACGTCAGCTTGCGGTGCTGTGCCGACTGCGGGTCTGAGAGGGTCCGGCGGGCAGCGGGTGGGGGGTCACGACTGAGCTTCCCTGGGAGGGACGCTGGGGTCTCCACCGGCTCCTCAGGCTCTGAGAGCTCAGAGGTGGAGCTGCCGCTGCTGCCAGGGGCAGCCGGGGGGCCGGCAGTTTGGCTAGTCCGGGGAGGGCCGGCGCAGAGGTTGCAGAGGCTGTGGCTCTGGCTGAGAGGGGCCGGAGGGCCGGGGGGCAGGAGCTGGGGCGGAGCCGGCGGCGGCCGCCAGGTCTACCCGGCTCCGGAGCCGGAGGCGGCTGCCAGGTCTACCCGGCTCCGGGAGCCCGGGTCGGCCGCCAGTGGCGGGGGGGGGCCGCCGCCCGGGGCCGGCCGGGGGGCCGGGGGGCGCGGGGGGGGGGGGCCGGGCCCCAGCCGCTGGCTGGGGGGGCCACGCCATGGGGCAGGGGTACGGGCAGGGCGCCCATGGGCAGCTCCCGGGTGGGGGTCTCAGCAGAGGTGAGGGTGTCAGCGGAGGTGCCGGTGCTGATGGAGGAGCCGTCCGAGGTTGAGCCGAAGGGCCCCGCATCCCAGTCCGGGGAGGAGAGCTCGTCACCGCCGTCCACCACCACCACGGCGAGGGTCTCAGTGGAGCCGTCGGAGGGGCTGTGGGAGCAGCAGGGTGAGGAGGGGGCTGCACTGGGCCGGGGGTGCACAGGGCCCCCCTCCCACTCCCTACCACCGCTGTGAGTCCGGGCTGGTGCTGCCGCAGTGCAGGACGGTGGGTGAACTGGCAGCTGAGGCACCACTCTCGCCGTCCTCCTCCTCCTCCTCCAGGCGCCGGTGCTGCCGCAGCTGCTGCAGCAGGTTCTGGGCAGGGAGAGGCATCAGAGAGGCACAGGGCACCTGCGGGACCCCCGCCCGCCCCCTGCGCCCCTCACCTGGGCATTGCGCACTGCCTCGACCCAGCTGCGGCACAGTGACTGCCCGCTGGCCTGGAAGGTGTAGGCGGCCACGGCACTCCCCAGCTCGTTCAGGTAGATGAGGAGGAAGGATCCTGCAGGCAGGGGCCGTCAGCAGCGTCCAGGACCCACCCCGGGGGCCCCCATTGCCCTCGGTGCCGCTCACCTGGATCCCTGAGCTCCCGGCAGACGACCTTGTCCACCAGCAAGGGCTGCCGGACCACCTTGGTGCGCTCAGCCTTCTTGAGGGGCTTCGTGATGAGGAAGAGGTCAGTGAAGAGGAAGCAGTAGACGTCCATCTAGGGGCAAGAGCGGGGCCATGGGCGCTGGCCACCAAGGCGGGCAGGGGCGGGCAGGCAGGGGCCAGGGCCAAGGCTCCCCGTCCCCTGCGGTCCTCACCTTGCTGTCTTTACCTTCCCGCATCCGCAGGCTGCCCTCGAGGAGGAGCTGCCGGGTGTCCTCCGGGGAGGTGCCAGGGATGGGGGCTGTCAGGTCCAGCCGCAGGAACTCCTTCAGCAGCTGCCGGGAGCCCCCGGCATCAGCACCGGTACAGCATGGGGTGGCATGGCATGGCATGGCATGGCATGTGGTGGCATGGGGTAGCATGGCATGGCATGGGGTGGCTTAGCCCGGCATGAAATGACATAGCGTGGCATAGCACGGTATGGCATAGGGTGGTATGACATGGCATGAGGTAGCATGGCATGGGTTGGCATTAATTAGCATGGCATGGGGTAGCAAGACACGGGGTGGCATGGCATGACAGCTCCGCCATGCCCAGCCTACCTTGTCCACCTCATCTGTGCTGCCCTCTACCACCTCGTAGGCATCGATGCGGTCGAGGAGGGCCGGGCCCCCCCCCCCCCTGCCGCTGGCGCATCCGCGAGTTGATGTGGTTGATGAAGTGCTCCACAGAGCCAATCTGCGGCCGGGGCGGGGGGTGCGAGGGGGCGGGGGGACCGCCCCCCACCGCGCCCCGCCACCCCGTGCCCCCAGTCCCTTACCATGGCAGTGACAGCATCACGGGCGCGCGGGTCATCCGTCTTCTTCAGCACGGACTTGAGGAGCAGCGGGTACTTGGTGAGGCGCTGGTGGGGCTTCACCAGCATGTCGCTCAGCTTCAGGCGGCTGCACTGCTCATGCTTCTCGGCCCACTGCAGCACGCAGGCGTCAGCCCTAGCCCTGGCACAGGCACCGGCCCCAGCCCCGACCCCCGCCTGCTCCCCTTACCGTCACGTAAGCGCGGAAGAGCTCGCTGTCCCGCAGCAGCGCCCGCATGTACTCCATGCAGCCCTCCTCCTCCATGCAGTACCGCACGTAGGGCTTGAAGAGGGACCCAAACTGGGGGGCGCAGAGGGTCACTGCGGGGTGCGGCGCAGCATGGCCCCCCGCCGTGGCACAGCGTCCCCACTCACCATCTTGAAGCCATTGAGGAAGTCGATGGGGTCGAGCAGCGCTCCAGTCCGGCGCGCCTTGGCCAGCACCGGGGCCATGACACTGCGCCACAGCTCGCGGTGCAGCCGGATGATCTCCCCGATGTTGCTGAAGAGCCGCTCGGCATCCACCTGCGGGGGTGAGGCAGGCAGCTGCATGAGGATGGCATCCTCACCCTGCCAGCATGGCCAGACCAGGGTCCCATCCCTAACCCAGGGGTCCCCAGCCCCCCTGCAGCGCCCCACCGCTCACCTC